GTGCACGACAAATGCCGCACGCAGAATATATAGCACTTGCAGAAACCTATAATTTATAAATGAACATCATTAGACACCAGCACAAGAGCTGTGTATGTCCCACATATATCATAACACAGTAGATAGCTCTGGTTGTTTCAGGTCAGGGTTTCTTGGTAATGTACACACGTGCGCACACATCCACAATTTCCACATACAAACAAGCACACGCGCAGACACACACATCCACACCAGCTTTTCCACGAAAGGGAAATGTAGGTGAAGGAAAAAATAGACGACTGTGATTACGGCAACTTTGCGTATTGGCCTATATTTTGGGTGACAGAGTAGCCAGTGCCCAGTGCCAAAATAAACGGTAATTTTCGCCTTTAGCAAACTTGTAATGAACACACGAACGTACGTGCAGCAAATATAGTGGGCCCTAACAAGCCCTCCTTCCAAAATTATGCCTATTTCTACTTCAGGTTTCACAACAACTTCCTCTCCGTGCACAAAACGACACCGCTACATAAAAGTTTGAACTTCTATTTGTATAGATCTGCTACCCACCTGCCCCCATCACTACCACCACCACCAAATCCCACTTCATCGTCTTCATTACATGTAGGTACTCGTCTTTATTTACTGTTGTCAATCGGTTGTAATTTCGTAATCGATCATCGGTTGGACTCAAGTAACCGATGATCGGTTACAATCGGTTACTCGGGGTTTTGAATGCCTGCGTGTGCGTAACGTTGTGTGCATGTACGTGTGTGCATGTATGTGCTTGTTTAGCCCTGTTTACTGTTTGTTTTGCACAGTTTACTACTGTGTGTATAATATATGTATGTTAATGAAGGATAACTTGTATAGTAGCGATGAGATTTCTGATTGTCATCACTTTTTCGAATATTTTTTTTTCGATTTTTTTTCCCCCCCGATGAAGTCGATTATGGATTTTGATAACCAAGCGCTTGGTTCGAGCCAATGTTCAACCGATGATCGAGTATAATCGATGATCGTGACATCACTATCTTTATTACACCTGAAACTCTCATTAGCTCCTCCTGGCTCACCGACAATGAGAAGGAGAGCCCACAGCAGCGGTTCGAAGACTTACGTGCACATGCGTGTTCTTCTGTGGCTGTTGCTGCTGCTGCTGCGGCGGCTGCGGCGGCTGCTGCGGCAACTGCTGCTGCAGCTGTTCCGCGGGGTTGAGAGCCTCATGCACCGTGTGAAGCGTCGTGCGAGGCATCGTCGTAGCTATGGCAACAACTCCTCCTCCTCCTCCGCGACAACGCGACGCCTCTCCCGCCGTCGCTCACGTCCCCGCCCGCGAATCGCTCGCACGGTCGCTGTCGCGCGGGCGCGGTCACAGGCTGCGGCAGCACCGCCGCAGGTACCACCGGCGCGGGTCGTCGTGTGGTACCCGACCGTGGCGGTCCCCCTGCCAAGTACGGAGGATGAGGATCGTGGTATCCGGCGATCGTCGCAGCCTCAGTGATCCTGTTCTCGGGCGAGGAACGACGAGGCGGGGAACGAAGAGGCGAAAAACCTCTCGTCGCGAGCTCGTGGCATCGGGTGTATACCCTCCGACACGCTCCGAATGTGCGACAAGCTACGGTTACGCTGAAAAACGGAAGATACACATGTGATCGCAAACGCTCGTGTGTCGTCCGGCAAAAAGACGGTAATTGGCACGTGCACGTAGCGCAAATACACTGGTTTGTCAGTCGAGGTGCGAGTTTGGAAGGGGGTTGCGTTCGAACATGCGTGCATCGCACACGACTACATGCAGTTGGGGCACGTGAGTGTGCACGTTTGCGGATGCGTGCGCCGGCGTCTGTACGTGTGCGTGCGTGCGCGTGTGAGTGCGTGCACAAACTTGCGCACTTCATTCGGTGTGAAGTTTATGAGATTTTATGTGCACGCATACACGGGTACATGACTGTGTAAACAAACCCGCGCTCAATCAATCATATTACCGATATAGACAAGAGGCCCCCAGGGCCCAATAACACGATAGTTGGTACTTATCTAATGCTTCACTTGCACGTCAACACAAGTTTAGCACCACACACTTATTTGGTAACTGGTCCTTGTACTTGTAGTGTTAGCACTTGGGCCAAATAGCAATGCACGTATTTACCCGTTCAGGCAAACTGACATTTGACACGCATGTAACATGTATCTATCTACGAGGCGTTTTACTTTAAACATACAAAATCGACTTTGGTAGAATAATTATATTAGAAATGCTAACAATTCCATGTCACAAATGCTATAACTAATCTTGAATGCTGAAAATCAATAAGCATTACCTAAAGATGCACACTACAGGTACCCACAAACGTGTTTTCGCATTTGTGCTAAACTAGGCTTGGGCCATAAAGTCTGTCCAGACTTATGCAAAACTTGTGCAATTGGGTTGTGCAACACAACATCAGGGTTCTGCCAAGAATTTTTTAGTGCCGGGCGCATCCAGGTCGCAAGATGCAAGCGCCGTAGGCGCGAAGCCAATCTAGGAGGGTCCGGGGCATACCCCCCGAAAAAGTTTTGATTTTGGATAGTCTGAAAGTGAAACTCAATTTCCTGCATTCTGAGCAATAAAAAGCCCATGTATCACACCATTTTTTTTTCCTTTTTTAATATAAAAAATTAGTGCCGGGGGACAACCGCGAGTGCCGGGCACACCCGCCCACCGCCGCCCACCGCGGGCAGAACCCCGGACATGTATGCAACTGCCTTTCGCTGCCTTTCACGGCAAGTTACCTTGCAATCCGTGAGCAACTGAGATGACTCAACACTGGAATTGCATGCTCGGAAGGTGTTTGACTAGAGATTTCATGCAATTGACACGACACTAGCATCACCATCTACCGAGTCGCTAGCTAGTTATTAGCCTATATAGATTTCTGACAGCCAGCCAGCTCTTTCAAGTTGAGTGGCATGTCTCTGTACAATCCGGCTTTCATTTTCGCAAATGTGCTAAACTAGGATTGGGCCTACGCCTGTGTGATATGACACCATCAGATTATTTTTACGAAACCATATTATATGCTACTAGTTGGTATTTAGTGCTCCCATCGGCTCATCGCTCCAGGCTAAATGATATCGAGTGTTGGATAGTGCGAGAGCTTACTAGTGGACTGTTACTCTGTTAGATCTGAAAAAATCCATATTCCGACATAATGGTTGTGTACAGTCACTGTCGAAAGCACAAATGTAGTCGTGTAGCATTGAATGATTCATACGAATGCTACTGAATGACGTTTGTTTTTCATATCCACCACTGGCACCGGCACCAGACTGTCATACAGTGACACCGATATATATAAATACATAATCTACTGACTAGACGCCTAGTCTACTGCCAATACATGCCACAACCCAAGTTATAAATAGGTGGGGTGCAGGGGGAGGGGGGGTCAGTAATGAATGGATTCTTTTAATTTTTAATAATTATGAATAGAATACGGTTTTCTGCAAGGACAACTTTTTGCTCGATAGGCATATTGACAGTTGCTTTTGGTAAGCAACCTTGCGCTAAAAGTTGCAATTACTGTTGATAACGAAATACTATGCACCATCCAGCGAGTTCCAATTATCTATAATAATCGGAAATCGATGTAACTATAATAATCGGAAATCGATGGACAACGATACCTAGGCCAGGGTTGCATCCACAGGCACTTGGGACAAAGTCAGTAAAAACTGAAAATAATATGAACGCACATTCACAAATACTAGTAGTAGTGTTACTACAGCGTACGGCGGGCGCAAATCCACTTTAGGCACCTTAAGTATCACGAAGTGATGCACAGATTTCTGTGTATCATCAACTGATGCACAGACTTTCCATATATCAAGGAATGATGCAAAAATCCTAACCCTAAGTGATAAAGTATAACCTTAGGCTTAGGTATCACGAAGTGTGTTTGGGTTAGGATTAGGGTTAGGGTTTTTGCATCATTCCTTGATATACGGAAAGTCTGTGCATCAGTTGATGATACATAGAAATCTGTGCATCACTTCGTGATACCTAAGGTGCCTAAAGTGGATTTGCACCGTACGGCGTACCTCCCAATTACAGTTCCACTGTTGTATCACTGTATATCAACTTTCATTCATAAAAACTAACACTGTAACACTAACAGTAACACCGAACGCTACCGCACTCACCGCTGCAAGTGTGCTGTGTCGCCGTTATAATGATAATAATAGGTATATAAAGTTTATATTATATATAATATTTATATATTATTATCATTGACATTATCATTAATGACATTATAATGGCGACAGCCGACACAGCACACTCGCAGCGTCGAGTGCGGGAGCGTTCGGCGTTAGTTTTTATGAAGGAAAGTTGATGGGTAGGCCCGATACATTATACAGTGACACAACAGTGGAACTGTAATTGAGAGGTACGGTAGACCTAGTATTTGTGAATGTGCGTTCATATTATTTTCAGTTTACTGACTCTGTCCCAAGTGCCTGTGGCTGTGGTTGCATCCTCCGTGGTGAATTTTGAATGTACAACTACAATTCTAATTTCTAGGTTCTCGGTTAAAACACAATGTCAATAATGACAATATAATTATAAACGTTAGTTGAGGTTATAGTACATGCAAACGATAAAAATACGCACCTATATCACGCAATAAGAACAAGTATCATAACCATATTCGCACAAACTAGCACAGTAAATCACGAGATACTGCTCATTAACAAAAGCTATTTCACACTCCCCTACATGTTCGCACGCAATATTCTGCTGTACATAAGATGGCGGTAAATTGTATGTGCCGTGTGCAAACTACTCCGATAAAAGAATTCTCATTGGACAGATCATCACGCCTTTTAACTATCGTCATCGTCACTCCCGAAAATACTCTTTTCCGTTGATAAATATTTGCCAATACGATTCAGATTCAGATTTTAACTATTAAATGAATAGAACTTACTACAAAAATTTAAAACTCACGAACAAAAGGAAATCTCTACAAATAAGCATTTATTTGTATTCATAACATTTAACAGCACAAGCATAATTATATTTTCCAATGCCTTTATTACTACTAAAAATGTGAAAAATAAATTCATTTTCCAGGTAACATCACAATAAATTAAGCAGTAATACTATTAGTCATGTAAAAGTTCAAGATAACAAAAATAATGGTGTTACAATGTGCTCTAGGTGGCAAATAAATACGTCATAATTTACATATTATATATACAGATTCTGTCAATACTTAACCTGTCAGCATTTTTTAGAATATATTAATAAATGTAAGGTTGTTTATTTCCACCTCGTGTGATTCTTATATGTAATGAGAAACATGTGCTCATTATCTCCAAACATGCCGATAAGCATCAAAGTGGCATTTATGAATGGTATATCTGAAAATTGAACAAATAACACCACATAACGATTGAAAAAAGAAAAAAAAAGAAAAGACGACTATTGATCAAAAAAGTCGAAATCGCCCTCTTCCTCTCTTGTAATTTGCTTTTCTGGAAATTCTACATCAGAGTCAGAATCCAGGTGAAGGAAACTATGCTTCTTCGGTTTACCAGCTGCAGCTGTAACTCTAGTAGCTTCACTGCAAAATACGCAATAATAGAAGAGCTTAGATGTTACATGCACACTTATACGACAACGTGAAACCATTACTGCCCCGGTATTCTTCAGTATATATTACTGGTAGACAAGGTATACTTCGTGAATACTAACCACTGTTAATGAGAATGGTTGGTTACTGGTCATTATTAAGCGAATGCTTAACAGTTAGTTACATAGATACAGATTCTTATGGTACGTGAATTCACAATTCCTGCATAGGTTAACACGGCATATTGCTGTGTAGCCAAACCCTCGGTTATTTACAACATATAAATGTATGTACCACACAGTTTCACGTGCTAACTGTCAGCAGATAAAGGCAAAAAAAGTAGAGATAAAAATTGATAACCTATTAGTGATACTGCTGTCTCATCTGTTTCTGATAAGGACGATCGGTTACCTCGGCATTTCACGAGCGGATCGCGAATATTCTGCTTTGGCAGGGGAAACGTTTCCATGGTAACCATCACGGTCAGCACCTACGCCCAGAGAAGCCTCAGCAGCTGCAGGTACCGGCGTCCTGGACACACTCACCGACCTGTCACGGGGGAACCGCGAGTCACTTAATAAGAACAATTTTCACCAACGGAATCTAATGATCAATAGCTGCCGGTAGCGACGAACAGAAAAAAATGCCCGATTATTGAATACTCCAATTCGATATTATAATTCCTGATTATGCTATTATATGATTATATATGTATATATATATTGTAATTAAATTACTGTATTTACTCGCGTACAAGTCACCCTTTTTTGTACACAAATTCAATAAAAAAATCAGGGGGTGCGACTTATACACGAATGCGACTTATACACGAGTAAATACGGTATATCATGATGTTATGTATTCTATATCTATCTCGTTTTAGATGTGTTGGAGACGCCTGTAGCGATAACTAGGATCGTGACTATACGATCTGATGCGCAACGTACTCTGGGCTCAGCATTGTAGGCATCAACATATTCTCAATGTCATCTCCATCGTCATCGTCGTCGGCGTCGCCATCGACCCCACTGTTCTCATTCTCACTCGTCTTTGATCGTGAACGGCTATCACGTCCTCCCAGCATGCTCTGATAGGCAAGAGTTTCTGAAATATCAACAGTAAATTATGATATATATATATACGGTATTCAGTGCAGTATTCAGTGCTCGTAGTATGGTAAGACAAATACTTATACAATACATATTTAATGCAATACGGTTACAATTACAATACAATACAATTAATACATTACAATACAATACGGTACAATATATAGTATGGTCAGACAAATACCCTTCCTAACTACACACATACGAAAGGTCTAATAGCAGGATTATGAAAACACACGAAAAATGAATACACCCACGATAAAACATCGGCAGCGTCTTTCCGGGTGCGAATCATTTTCGCGACGCGGAATTCGTTTCAACGAGCGTATTTTCGCTGACGTCACTCACTGCTCAGCGGAGTGTTGTCAACGAGCGGGGGGCTACTGTCGAAAAAGCTGTCCTCCCTGCTCTCATCATCCTCCTCCTCCTCCTCCTCCTCATCCTCTTCTTCACCATCTTGCTCTTCATTGGCACTGTTCGGCACCTCTGCTGTGGGCGGCTGACCATTCACCTGCACCGGGCCGCCTGAGATAAACGATCACGTCGTAAGAAAAGCACAAATAGAGAAACTCGGCACCAACAACACCATGTAGATATATATCGTTTGTTATCTGTAGCCGATTATTTCACTGCAGGCGGTTGTCTTGCTGGAGGGAGCATTGTTATCTGTAGCTGAGTATTTCGCTGCAGGCGGTTGTCTTGCTGGAGGGAGCGTTGAGGCGCAGTGAAGAGGAGATGACAGAAGTCGTCTCGTCCGTGACGCTGCCGTCGCCGCCGCCGACGCTCGAGAACAAGACGCCCGTCGGCGAGCGACTGGAAGAGCTGCAGCTGAGACCCGGTGAGATGCGTGCGGCGGCGCCCTCTACGTTCGCCGGCGACACCCTCTACATTTACGGGCGGCGCCCTCTACATTCACTGGCGGCGCCCTCTACATTTGCCGGCGGCGCCCTCTACATTCATCGGCGGTGCCCTCTACATTTACCGGCGGCGCCCTCTACACTCACGATAGCATCTCGCGCTGAACCAAATCTCAGTCATTTACCCATGGTTATTTCCAGCCGGTTTTTCCGCGCTGTTCTTCGGGAATGTATGTCTGTTGTGTGAATGATAGCAACGACAAAATCTCTATGAGATCTACACTTAATTACATTAATTATCTGCATTAATTACTCGCCTGTAAAGTAATTCCTCGATTAGCACATGCACTGTGGGTCGTATCTGGTACAGATTACTTATATTATATTATATATTATATTATTATATTTTTATATATATATTCTATTTATATATTTATATATATCATTTATAGTATTC